ATTCAACTTTAATTTATTCAAGCTTGCCCAGGCAGTTATCCTATCTAGGTCTCTCTGAATATTCGTAAACGCTTCTAATAACTCAGTGGGTGGAAAGGAAAAATAAATTTGGGAGTCATCAGCATATAGAAGGTATGAACAATGGGGGATTGAACTAGGAAGGTCGTTGATGTAAGAATTAAAAAGGATAGGAGAAATGCTTGAACCCTGGGCTACTCCATGAGACAAAGTGAGGAAAGAAGATAAGGGTTGATTCGGAATACTAACGGTTTGAGTCCTGTCAGAAAGAAAGGATTGGAACCATTGGATAGAACTATTGGAAAAGGATAGAGATTTTAATTTATTGAAGAGAATAGAATGGTCTTAGGAGTCGAATGCTTTGGAGAAGTCCAGGAGTACTAATACAGTCAGTTTTCTTTCGTCAATTGCAGTACGTCTGTCATTTGTGATTTTAGCTAAAGCGGATTGAGTGGAGAAGCCTGGGCGAAAGCCAGATTGGAGAGGATCTAAAAGTTTGAACTCTTCGAGATAATTGGAAATTTGGGATTGGACTATTCTTTCGAGGGGTTTTGACAGAATTGAGAGGATGGAGATTGGACGATAGTCTTTAGGAGAGGTGGGGTTAGGGATTTTGTTAATAGGACGGACTAAGGCTTTTTTCCAGGATGTAGGGAAAACAGAATTTTGAAGGGAAAAGTTATAAATGAATAGAACTGGAAGGATTTTAGGGAGGCATAATTTTAACAGTTTGACAGGTATTCCGTCAATTCCTGTAGAGTTGGATTGGGATTTCATTATGGAGGAAATAAGGTTCGTAGGATTGATGTAGGAAAAATAGAAATTGTCACTATTAAATGCAGATGATACAGGAATATAAGAAGAGGCGGGAGAAATGTTACTAGAGGAGGAGGGTAAAAAGTAGGAATTTAAGGCATCAGGAGAGACTGGGACAGCTATGGAAGAAGATGATTTGCAAAGAGATAGCTTTCGGAGTAAATGCCATTTGGATTTAGAATCGGGAGCTGAGGAGAAGACTTCATGAAAGTGATTGGTTTTCGCTTGCCTGATCGTTGTTTGCGTCAAGTTCCGGAGTACCCTGAACGCTTCGTAGTCATCTGCAAGCCTGGTTCTTCTAAAACGTCTACGGGCTGCCTCACGTCTCTTTCGCATATTTCGAATTTCTTGACGCATCCAAGGAGCAGGTTGGAGGCGGAATGTAGAGGTTTTAAGTGGGGCATGGGTATTGAGGATATGGAGGAGATTAGAAGTCAGGATATCTACCTGTTATCAATTGAGGAGCTGGTGTAAACATCATTCCAATTCAGGGTTTCAATATCGGTAAGATGCTTTCACGGGTTAGGGAATTTATATTGCGGAAGGTTATGGTTTTAGGAAGGATCGCAGGGGTCTGAATATAGTATGATAGTTGGATGAGGTCATGTGAAGACAGGAAAGGAACAGGTTGTTGGGACGAGGACAAAAGGTTCTGCGCAGAATCGATGATAAACAGGTCCAGCTATGTATCAGACCAGCAAGTGTGATGCGTAGGAGCAAATGGCACTATAAAGAGGTTAAGGGAGTAGAAAAGGTTTTCCAGGTAGTGTTTATCGTGGGAATCCGAAAGGAGATTGGCGTTAAAGTCACCGGAAACTATTATGTTACTGTGGGATAAATTTGTATAGGGTTGATTCGAAGGATGGGTCGAAAGGTACCAGAGGAGGGCGGTATACTACAACGTATAGGAGAAGATGGGATTTAAAGGAAATTTCAACAAAAAGGTATTCCATGTGGGGACATTTGGAAGGAGATGAGATATCTAGGGTTCGGGCTTTTAGGCTATTATGGACGTAAAGACCCACACCACCACCCGTTCTTGTAATCCGGTCATGGCGGATAAAGGTGTGATCGGGTAAGGAAACGGAAGAGGAAGGTATGTGGGGTTTTAGCCATGTTTCGGAAACTGCAATAGTATGGTAAAAATTGCAGGTAAAATATTGCTGAAATTCGTCGAAATGATTGTGAATTAACATGACAAGAGGTGAGGACACTAGACATGTTGGATAGGAAATAGAGAAATATGATGAAAGGCAGCTGAAATATAATGAATAACATTTAAAATGAAGCAAGTAATGGCTAAATACAAATAATAATAATAATATGCAGCAATGATAAAAAAGACTAAACATGATAAAATAAAAGATTACCTCAGTTGTGCTAGAGAAAAAATAATGGTAAAACAGTAACATAATACGGCAAAGTGATTTATAGTAGGCAACGCTTAACATTTCCCAATTATGACCATCTAGTTGACGAATGTCGAACCGTCAGCAAAAAATGTCAAGATCTTGTGGCTGATCGATGTAGATCACCGGGTGTCCATCTTCTTTTCTACAATGAACTCTACCCCCCGCAAACCATAAGTATTTTAATTTGCCTGCTGCTCTCTTCTGACGGGCGAGCCAGTACGTCTATTCATAGGAGACATTTCTTCGCCGAGATATATCCGGTGGGAGTCGTTTTCTTGCCAACCAATATCCCTAGTAGAAAAGTCCCTTTTTACCTTTCTTCTTTGCACCAAGTCGTCGCGTACAGACTGCCTCACAAAACGAGCAATCACGGGTGGTGGTCGGGGATCATCTTTTCTTGGTCTCCGTCGCTCCACAAAGTCGAGGTCCTCTGGGTTGATCTTAATTCCGAGGCCGGCTCCCACGCTGGCTACCAAGGCCGATGGAGTCTCTCCCGCGCTTACCGGGATGCCACGAATTTCTATTGATCTACGAAGTAGACCTTGCTCGGCTTTGTTGACACGCACATCAAGTTCACCATAGAGTGCTACCAATGGGTAGTTTCTCAACATGTGTTCCATGTCTTTATACCAATGTGCAAATTTACTAGATGTATTTGTTTGTATACAGTTGTAAATATCATTTAAAATAAATAAATAAAGTTCACCTACTCTGGATTTCAGCATCTTATTTTCTGAGGATAGTTCTTCTAGGCGTTTCGCTTAAGCTTCGATGTGTCCTTCTATTTTCGTGAACCTCTCATTCAACTCGAAACTGAGTTCACCATACTTCTCAAGCGACGTTTTTTATTTTATATCTTCATTTACTTGTTCACCGAGCTTGTTGACGGCCAGGAGAATATCCGATGAGGAGGGTTCTCTGGTGTCGCTCTTGGATGGACTGGGTAACTTATCACTAGCTGGGGCAGTGATAAGTTACCCATGTACATATGTACTTGTCGCGTATCGTCTGGTGGACGAATCGCACGACGAACCGCAAGTCTAGGCCCTCAACTACCAATTTTATACCTAGAGCTGCCCCTATGGAGCAAACTAGGCCTTCTGTTGTTTCCCCCGGGTTAGCTGGAATCCCTCTTATCTCTAAGTTATTTGCCAGCTGTGCTTGTTCTGCCTGATTAAGCCTAGATTCGAGAACATTTATTTGAGATTTACGATTCTTATTCTCCGTTAGTATATTTTCAATAATTTGTTCTTGTTTAAGTGCCAGTTCCTCTATCTTTCTATGTCTCTGTTTTTAAACGATAGATCACTCTGTTTCCCGAAAGATAACTTTAATTCTTTTATATCCCTAGCGATCCTTCTTTCCTCGACCAATATAGAGTATTAGTCTCTTCTGACATCTCAGCGGCCGTCGTAGCTTGATATTTACTGAGGGGCTTTACACACAAGTGACTGAGCCAGTTGTTTTTTAATTGTTGCGATACGTCAGACTCTGATATATTACAATATATTTATAAACTATTGCTTATAAATTATGTCTAAATATTATGTAATTGCCACAATTCTCTACCTTTTTGTATCTTGTCCGTTCTAGCCCTGATGAAGACCTGCAAAGTCGGGTCGAAACGTTGGTTTTCAATAAAATAGTTTGACCACTATTTAGCTTATTTATATTTATAGTTTATATATTTAACCCCGGACCATCTCCTTCCTTTATAATGCAACGGTCAACTATTAAATATTCTAATAAAATAGTTCGAAGTTTGATTATGAAAAAATTAACAAATATATATTAACCCTAATGTAGGAATTATACAAAACTAAGCGAAAAGAAAACAATAAAAATTGAACAACTTTACGTGGTCGCAAGCAGGTGACGGTCGTAGATATGGACAAACCGCTGGCACTCCAATCCTCCTTCACCGACTGAACGTAAGTTCAATATGAGCGCTCATATAATTAAAACTGCAAATGGGCAGCGGCTAGCACGACGAGAAAAGTACGTCTCTTCACAGTAGAACTGCAGTGGGCAGTGTAGAAGTTGGTAGTACTCTGCTCAGTGACGGACGGAGACAGACTGTTTATTGTCAATTCTGCCGCCTTAGGACTTGAACCTAGCACTTGTTTATAGCTAGAGGGCTACAATCAATGACAGTTTAAGTATAAACTATTGACCTATTGATTATAAACAAAATAAGCTATGGGCCTAAGAATATATATAATTATTAATTGTTTTCATTTTATGAGACAAACAAAATAACAATTAACCAAATAATTGTTTAAAATAAATTAACGCTGTGGCGTTTAGTTATTTTAGAAGACATGGGACATTGAAAAAAATTGTCCCAAGGTACACTTTTTCTCTTACATATTTATGTTAATTTGAATATTAAAAATACATAAAGTTATAAGAATAAGTAACTTTATTTATTTTCTACTCAATAAATGGTTATGTCATAAAAAATACCAATAAAATAATAGTCCGGACACCTCGTCATAAAAAGGGGGGTCTAAGTTGAATCAAGTGATAGTAGGTTTTGTCTTTTTCTTTTTCTTTTATGGAATATGACCGATACGCAAAATCTAAGTTTTGGACTTCGGCAGCTCTCCAGATCACTTTTGAATAACGCTTACCCCAGTGTCGTATAGGCATGCTCTCTCAAGACACATTTTGTTTACAGATTTTTATCGGCTCCAGGAGTTGAATATATTTCTTTGTACTTGTGTTGAACTAATCATTAGTGAGTAGGTTTCAGGCGGTGTTATGAAGAATATCACGTGGGTTGATTGATATTATTATAGAATTATTTGAAATGGCTAATCCGCTGTTTGAATCATTCAGTGGATCTGATTTTGTCGAAAATGTAGTAATGTCTGTTGATGAATTGTTTCCATTCAAGGAAGATCTTAACCAAGAATTACATGAAGATGTAGATTTCCTTAATATTAGTTACATGGAAGTAGATCTACAGCGAATCCTTCTCATACTGAAACATCCAGCGAATCTTTACTTCACAGGTTCATTGTATGTTGAATGCTTATCGGGTGCTGTTGGTGTTCATGGGTTTACTGTGAGACCTGGATGTGACCCTTATTTTGTGGTTAGTGGTTATGGACAGAGTGCTAAGTGCTTTTCCTCAATAGGAGACAGGAAAATTAGTGTCAGTTTAAGCGAACTAGAAATAGAATTATCTAAACGAAATATTTTTAAATTATTTGAAGATCAACTTGAACAAATGTGTGCAGCATCTTGCGTTTTAATTCTATCTAAGTCTGGTGACAATGATCTACCTATCCTTGATATGTTTAAGCTACCAAAATTTCAATGTTTTGAAATTTCCAGAAACAGCAGTTTTTCTTATTTTGATAAACTTGAGGACTGGTTGGGTTGTATATTTGACTTCAGTTCAGGTAGTCGCATTCCACAGAAGATGAAGTACGATCAATCTATAAGAAATTTGGCTAATGATTGCTTTCGTTGGGAAGGTATTTTTTTTTTTTATCATCAATCCTATATAAGTTGTTCATTGATTATTTTATGCTTATCATTTAATATTTATGTATGTAACTGATGCCATGGGAGATCAGTTACATTGAGTAGGACACTGCTATGCTCCTATGCTCTGGGTTTTGAGTCTGACTGTGCCAGGAAATTATTTATTCTATTTCATCAGCTGTGGAAGGACCCTTGGTTCAGGAAACTCTCCTGTGCCAATCTCAGCCTCTTTAAGTGGGTACTCATAATTAATTAAGGGGGAAATACTGGCAGATGAGTGTGATCTTGGTCAAGAAACAGTACTTTCTTATTAGGTACTAAACCCAAAGACCCCTCATGGGTTGCAGTGATGCAGTGATGCAGGTTTTTTTGGGTATTTGGTTGTTAATAGTTTTAAAATAAAAAAATAATCAATTTACTTAATTTAGTTTGTTTAAATTCTTTCTGATTTCAAATGTAATAATAACAAAACAGTTTGATTTGGAATTGAAATAGACAAAAATAAATGTAATAGTTCCCACAATAGTAACAAAACACTTTAATTTGACAACATATATGAAATAGACAAAAATAAATGTAATAATAAAAAAAAATGAAATATTAAAAAACCACAACATATATACATATAAAAGAAACAATATAAACAACATATGTTCATATAAAAGAAACAATATAAACACTATAAAATACATATGTAGATTTTAAAACAATTTTATTTTCACTTCACCTATTTTAGACAAAATAGTTTAATGCTATTTAAAATAGCCAGGAACAGGTCCTGTTCTCTGTGAGCCCATCACCACAAAAATTCACATAATATGAATCGAGGTGTTGTCTAATCGTTGTATGTGTTAAATATGGATCCCACTTGATGGATCAACAAAATTATACGGGTGATTCACCTGGAAATGGTTATAGTTTGCTTCATTCAGTTGTTGGGTGTTGTATCCTTTCCAACAGTCAGAATAAATGGTGCTTCTCTCTTCTATATTGTTTTAATACCGTGTAATAAAGTTGTTGCGTTTCTGTCATTTATTTTTATGATAAAACACTCTTCTGTTTCTCGGAAAACTCCGCCAAACATCCATTGCTCAGGTAGAACTCTCCCTACATGATTTTTTATTTTAGAAAAAAAGACTCGTCTACTTCAACAACTTTGCCAGGACCTGCAATTTTTTTCGTTGACCTGTATAACATGTTAGGGGCACAAATCTCTCTTAAAAATTTGTTCCATGTTATCATAGTTGCCTTGGATAGTTTCAGCTGCTTTTTGCTCCACTTTATCATTGTTAAATTATGGAACCACCCATAAATTAATTTTAAAGCCATTAAAACAAAATCCTCAACCCCTCTAACCACGTTCCTCTCCTTATAGAAACGTTTTTGTTACAAGTGGTACGAAAGCATCTCCATTTCGTCTTCCAGTCTAACTTCATTTGATGACCTTCTTCACACAATTTCACTTTTGGAATTATCCCGGCATTTTGAAAATATTCGATAGCCTCTTCTTCTGAAGACAGTAATTCTCAGAATGTAATATGATCCATAATTTGACGAAAATCACACAAATGGAACAAAAATAAACAATGGAATAACTCACAGCTTACACGAGATAAGAAGGGAATTTATGTGATCTAACAGTAGATAACAACTGAGATTTCGTCCCGACCTATCAGGCAAGTACCCACAAACCTTGAAGAATGGTGTCGAAATTGGAGAATTAAAATAAATCCCATCAAATTAATTACCTCTATTCTTCATTGTAAACCTATGACTTCCTTTCCTACAGTATCCTATAACAATTCTCTTCTTATCCCTGTTAATCAAATCTGATACCTAGGACATGCAAGACTGAAACGATATGAAACTGCTCGACGTTTTGACTACTCTAGCACTTACTAGACAAATGCTCTAAACTTTCAATACATTACAAAAGACTCATATAAATAATTATAATCAAGTCTATTCGGACTTACGGAATTGAGCTTTGTGGCTCCACTAAACATAAAATTCCTGTTGTATCCAGTCCTTACAATCGAAAATCCTTAATGCTCCTTACTTTGTCACAAATAAAATCATCCATAACGACCATAATGTGTCTTATGTTTCCGATTTATCCCAATCCAGATACCTATCCTTCCATAACAAACTTCAAAACCATCCGAACCCTCTCATTTCAAACCTTGCTTCATGTTTCAGCCATTAAAGACCAAGTTTCTGACCTATAAGTCAATGTTTGTCATATTGGGATTTTATAGAATATAATATTTGTCCTTTTGGATGAGCTAGTACTGGATAATTATAGGTCAAGTCCAATTTAGCAATAGTTTTTGTGGGGTATCCTTTTTTTTTTTTCAATGAGATTTTCACTTATGTAAAAGTATCCTAGTAGTTCAATTTCAGAGTAATTTTCTGAACTACCGAAGGCCAAATATTCCCTTCTTTCCATACTATTCAGGTTCCTGATTAGAGATCAAAATGTATTTTCGTTGAATTAAGGCTCATAATTTTTTTTAAATGTCAGCCTTTTTGATACTTTTGATACCTCTTCATTACCACATTCAATTACTTGCAAAAAAATTTCTAATTCTTTCCTACATTATTACTCGAGCAGCTCATAGTGTGTTAGCTTTGGGCCTATGGTGAGGGAATATGTTGTTTTCAAATATTTTAAGATGTTACCTTTAAGCCCAGCCAAGTGTTCCTTTCGTGGGCCATTACTCTCTCATATGAATCATTGGAAGAAAATCATTATTGACTACAATATAATTTTTTTTCTAAACATTCTTCCCACCGCATTGATGGGATGAGGGTTCAGTGATCAACCAATTTAGTTCTTCAATTTTTAATGTTATGTGGTGGTTTAACTTCATGATCTGTGATATATACAATTTTTTTTTCAGTTAGATATATTTGTATCTGTGGCTGTTCATTGAGTTATATTCTTTTTTTACTGCTTTCTAAAGAGGACGGGGGATAGGACAGTGATTAAAGGTACTGGGGTCATCTTTGAGTTTATCTGTGACAGATAATCAATAATTCTGTTACATAAGCTGTTGATTAATCTTGGAATTGGGAGACCCCTTGGTCTAAAGTACCTAGCCCCTAGGAATAAAGTAGGTACCATTAATTAGGGAAGAAAATTGGTGGTGAGTGTTATCTTGGCCTAATCAATTCCTTGCAAAACTATTGGCTTAGGAACAGTACTTCCTTCAGAAGTCCTGAACCCAAGACCATTGCTTGGTAGTTGTACAAGCTTTTGGAAATTGTTATATATTACATTAACATTATTTTTTGAATTCCATCAATATTAGTTTCCAAGAAAAATAATAGAAAATATTGTTTTATCAAATGTTTATATTTTTTTTTTCATTTATTTATTTTTGTAATTTTAAACAAAACTTTCTACTTTTGTTTCTATCTTCTATGGTTATAGATCCAAGAGTTATGATCTGTGGTGGTAAAGGTGTAGGAAAATCAACAAGCCTTCAATATCTTATAAACAGAATGTTTGAAAAGTGGTCAGCTGTTGTTGTCATCGATTTTGATATAGGACAACCAGAATTCTCTATTCCTGGGTGTATATCTGTCAACCTGATTCAGAAACCAATATTAGGTCCTTATTTTAATAATTTTTATGAACCACTGAGGTAATTTAATAATTCTTAAACATATCCATTGTAAGGTTTGAATTTCATTAATACTGTTATTACTTTTATTATATAAATGAATTTAAGTTTAAAAAGCAAATCATTCATTAAATTATTGGGTTATTGCTATTTATCAGTTTCATCATTGTTAAAAAGATACTTTACTTCTAAATTATTAGTAAATTTACTAGATGTGCTACTGTACAGTTGCAAATGGAGTAGAATATTAAAATAAATAAACAAACTAAAGTTTATTCATTTTATTGTTTTTTTAACTTATTTTATTCATACTTCAGAGCTATTTGGAAGTGAAGTTTATTGCTTCATTTATACACCTTATAAAAATTATAATTATAAAAAAATTAATTGTTCTAAGAAAATAAAATAAAAATAGCATCCTTTGAAAAGTGTATCTACACTGGAACTTCTCTTAGTGGACAAATTTATAATCCCCAATTACTATATCAATTTTTTAATCATTTTATTTTAACAAGGACTTTTGCAGAAGAGATGTGGACAGGCTCGATGTAAGAATTTTTATTGGAAATGCTTAAAGGCTTCTGTTGTTATTTAATATGATAAAGTTTATTGGTTTGTTATATTTTAATTATGCTTATTATGTCCAATGTGTGTGCTCAGGTTTTTATGAAAATGAAATTAATAGGTAGAGACCAAACGGTCCTGGCTACTCAACGCAATCTGCCCTCCTAAAAATAACCCATGATCTCCAAAACTCAATCGATCACGAAAAATTTACTATCCTTATACTCTCAGATTTTTCCAAAGCATTTGACACTGTTGACCACAACATCCTCCTTTCTAAACTTCAAAATCTTTCTTTATCCAAAAGTGTCCTCCTACTCTGTTTGCTATTTATATTAATGATCTTCCTATCATGACCCATCACTCCCAATACCACATCTAAGAACATGATTTTCAAATATACCTGTCCTTTTTCCTTCTGACCCATTAGCTGCCACAAAAAAACAGAATCTGTGACTGGGGGGAAGCTAACAAGTTTAAGTTGAATGCCATGAAGACCAAAGCAATTTTGAGAGGCTCCAATAAAACTTCCTAAACTCCCTATCATGTGCCTGCATGATATTACTGTTATAGACTAAACAATTACCATATGTTTTCTTATATTAGGATTAATGTACGTCATATGTTTTTAGTAGCAGTATTATTCAATGTGTTGATATGTGTGTGTGTTAAAAATAAAAGTGTATAAATTTCAACTTATTCTATTTCTAAGAATAACAGATATTCCCAGAATTTTCCAGTACACTCAAGTCACAAAAATTCCCATAAAATTTTATCCTACCGTTAAGAACCTTGGAATATCCTTTGATCAAACCTTTTCGTTGAAAGACCATGTATCCAATATCTTCTGCCGCTCCTTTTCCACTTTAAAATGTCTATATTACCTCCGCTACCTATTTCCATTTGAAACCTGTTAGACTCCTAATCACTTCCTTAATATTTCTTCACTTGGACTATTGCTGTACAGTATATGGGGGCGTCTCTGGGGATCTTGAGGTGAAACTAAAACGTTTGATAAATTGCTTTGTACTATTCATCGTCGGTATCGCAAGGGACGCCTCTGTTTTCATGAAGAGCTGAAGTGGCTTTATCCTTCCTACCATCATAATTACTTCCTGCATCCTTCCTCTTTCAAGTAATTCAATCCTACCATCCTTCAACTCAAATCCTCTGTCTACTCGCACAAAACCCATTCTGGTATTCATATTTGTATACAAGAGCCCACCGAACCGCTGCTTTTGACAGATCTTTCATTATCTGATCCTCATCCCTATTGAATTCTATCACTCCCTGGATCTGTCGCTCCAATACCCTCCTCACCTTTAAATCCCACTTTTTCAATCACCTCTTGTCCATTCAGTCCTCATAAAATTGTAAATAGATGTTGTTGTAAACATGTATATAAATTATTGGTTTTAAATATTTTTGTTTCACTTTTTTTTCTTAATTGATAAAGTTTCTTAATAATAAATACTTTTTTTTATTTATTATGTCTATTTGTCTTTGTTTTATCTTTTTTGTGAGTATTCTCCACATTTCTATCTCTGTATTTTATTCTAAAGGGACCCGTCCCAGAATAAATAAAGTATTATTATTATTAAGTATAAATCTATTACTCTGCTTACTTAGTTATACTTCATTTATTCTGTTTATTTAGTTATACTTCATTTAATCTTTTTTAATTTGTTGTTAGATTCATTCGTATATTTACTTAGTTATTCTTCATTTTATCTTTTTACTTCGTTATTAGATCCATTTGATAGTTTTATATACTTTATATTCATACGATTTGTAATTTTCATGTAGCTTCCTCAATTCTTTATATCCTGTTGTATTTTTTTCATTCTAGCCCTGAAGAAGACCTGTATAGTTAGGTCAAAACATTAGCTTTAAATAAAATAGTTTTTTCACTATTTTAAGTCTTTTTGTGATTGCCACTCCGGACCATCCCCATCCTGAATTATTTAGAATGGTCAACCATCTAATTTTCAATTAAAAATTTATCATTTATTGCAAAAAGTATTCACTCAGTAACAGTTGGTATAGTAAACTTTTTTTTCCTTGATGGCTGGATTCATGGAGCTGATTTCTTATAGTTTAGGGGGTAATATTTTTGCCATATTGCATTGTAATTTATTTTGCAACTTTTGAGTAATTATGAGAATATCGTAGGAATCCTTGACTGATCAATACTGGAATAATATATATATATATATTTAATTACTTATATTTTCATTTTTACTAATGTTACTTTTTGTGTTTTTTGTATTGTTTTAGGTCGATAGTAATTGGTCATGTTAACCTAGATGTGTGTTTGACCAAATATTTTGCTGCTGTTGAAGAGTTGCATAAATATTGTTCATTAAATCAAGATATACTTAATTTCCCTTGGTTCATCAACACAATGGGTTATATAAAAGGTATGTTGTTAATATTTGATTCACAGTTTTTATTTATGTGTATCACTTATTTGGATGAGAACAAATTGTGTAGTTAACTTCCATTTTTTTAAAATATATTTTTTATAAATTTGCATCATTTGATTTTTGTCTTACTATACATTCAAGGTGTAATATAAATATTCAATCAATTCTTTATTGGGAAATATTACAATCCAAGGACACTAGTAATAGTGATAGAGTAGCTCATTCACACTATATGTAATATAAATAGTAAGTATTACTATTACCTCGCACGGACTCATTACCGCGTATGGGGAGCGTCCCACGGGTGGCGGATGTGGGGATGGTCGGTGGAAATTCCTTGGAAGTTCCTCCCGGCTAAGTCCGATGGACTCGCTGACCAACAATGAGAGGGGCCCTCCAGACTTGCTGGAGGGAGGGGACCTCCAGACTTGCTGGAGGTAGGGGCCCACCAGACTTGCTGGAGGGTGTGACGTAGGATTGAACGCCCTACTCACATATCTTTAGTTCACCAAACACCACAAAAAGTCATGGATCTCCCTAAGGTAAAACGCTCATTATCCGGAGGTAAACTAGTCCCCCGTTCGGGTCTCCGGGTGGGGACTGCTTTAGGGGATTCATGCCGCAAGTTGAAATATAGGGATTTAAATATTGGTACGTGGAACGTAAGGAGTTTAAACACAGCAGGGGGGCTAAAATCGGTCGCGAATGAGGTAAATGGGTACAATTTGGATGTCGTGGCTCTGCAAGAGGTTCGCTGGCCAGGGGAGGGCTCGATGAGGGAAGGAAAGTACACTATTTGGTACGGAGGAAGCGGGAATCATTGTTTAGGTACCGGGTTTCTAATTAGGAGTAGATTACTATCCGCTTTGAGGGACGTACAATTCTTTAGTGATAGAATTTCGGTAGCTACATTTCAGGGACGTTGGTTTAAAATCGCATTAATAAACATTCATTGTCCGACCGAAGACAGTGACGATGAAGTCAAAAGTGAATTTTACGATAAACTCGAATGGGTGTATGATAAACTACCGCGAAACTACATGAAAATAATTGTAGGTGACGTGAACGCAAAGGTAGGAAGGGAAGAAGTTTATATTCAGACGATTGGTAAAGAAAGTTTGCACGAATATAGTAATGATAATGGGATCCGTCTGATAAACTTTGCCATCTCGAAAAACCTGGTAATTAAAAGTACGACGTTTAAACGTAAGGATATTCATAAATATACTTGGACATCGCCGGATTCGCAAACACGAAATCAAATCGATCATGTCTTGATACAACACAGCTGGCAAAGCAGTATAATCAATGTACGGTCTTATCGCGGAGCAGAATGTGGGTCGGATCATGAATTAGTAATCGCGAAACTTCGACAAAAACTTAATATAAAAAAGAGAAAAGAAAACCGTTTCGATTTTGAGAATTTTAATTTGGAAAAATTAAAAAATCCATCAATTAGAAACCAATTCGAGCTAGATGTTAAGAATAGGTTTGAAGCTTTAGAGCTTCCTGACGAGGACCACGAGGATATTGACAAGTTATGGGTAGAGATCAGGGATAATATTAAAGCGGTCGGTAACTCGTGTCTAGGAAAAAAGGAAAATAAGAATAACAAACCGTGGTTTGATGAAGATTGCTTAAACATGTGCGAAAAAAGGAAAGCCGCTAAATTAAAAGCTCTAAATAATCCTAGCGAAGACAATCTGGAATACTTCCGAATCTCAAAGAACGAAACGAAAAAATTGCTCAAAAATAAAAAAAGGGAGTATCTTAAAAATAAAATAATTGAAATAGAAACTAATAGAATCGAAAATAACGTAAGAGACATGTACAAAGGTATAAACAGATCACGTAAATATGTAGGGCCCGTAACGTCTGGAATTAGGGATGATAATAACAATATTCTGACCGATCCGGTTGACATATTGAATAAATTTAAGGACCACTTTGACAATATTTTAAATACGGGAAATTATGATCTGTGTCCTCCTTCTGAGTACCAGAGTGCTGAACCGTTGATAGAAGGACCAAGTAAAGAGGAAGTTGAAGTAGCTATCGGTAAATTAAAATCATATAAAGCAGCGGGAATCGATAATATTCCTACTGAACTAATTAAGGCATGCGGGGAAGCTGGAGTTTCTAAAATACATCGGTTGGTTGAAATGATCTGGGTGAACGAGAAATTACCTGAAGAATGGAAAGAATCTATTCTTATTCCGATTCACAAAAAGGGTCCGAGGACGGATTGTAATAACTATCGAGGAATTTCACTCCTTCCGGTATGTTATAAAATATTCACTTCAATCTTAACCAGTCGAATCACGGAATACGCCGAGGAACTTATCGGAGACTACCAATGCGGATTTAGACGGAATCGTTCGACTATTGATCAAATATTTTCTTTACGGCAAATATTAGAGAAAAAATTGGAGTATAACGGTATTGTTCACCAGCTGTATATAGATTTTAAAAAGGCTTACGATTCTATTGACCGCCAGAAACTGTATAATATTCTAATCGAGCAGGGAATTCCAAAAAAACTAGTAAATCTAGTCAGGATGTGCTTGACGGAGACACTCAATAAAGTTAGAATCGGTAATAATTTGTCCGAAAAATTTGAGGTTCGTTCGGGCTTAAAACAGGGGGATTCTCTTTCGCCTGTCCTGTTCAATTTGGCATTAGAACATGCCATTAGGGAGGTAATGCGTACTGAGAAAGGGTTGGATCTGGGCGGGACAACATCCGTGCTGGGCTATGCTGATGATCTGGTACTGTTAAGCGAAGACGTTGAAACTATAAAACTAAATACGACAACGTTAATGAAAGCCGGTAAAGAACTAGGACTCGAAATAAACGTGGATAAAACAAAATATATGGTTAGCTGCAAAAATGGCGATACTACTGGTGATATCGATATAGATGGTAATATGTTTGAACAGGTAGATAAATTTAGGTATCTAGGTTCTACGATAACTAGAAAAAACGAAATTGAAGAAGAGATTAAAGTTAGACTGAAGGCGGGGAATGCTTGTTATTTTTCTGTGACAAAACTACTCAGTTCGCGCCTCTTGTCCCGAAACTTAAAAATTAGAATCTATAAAACAATTATTTTGCCTACAGTTCTTTATGGATGCGAAACTTGGCCGCTTACATTAAGGGATGAGCAGCGTCTTAAGGTTTTTGAAAATAAAGTATTGCGTAGAATATTCGGACCGAAGAAGGATGAGTTAACCGGAGAGTTCAGACGGTTACACAACGCCGAATTGCGTGAGCTATATACGGGTAATATAATTGAGGTAATTTCATCGCGGCGAATCAAATGGGCTTGTAAAGTTGTTGGGCTTAGTAACGAGAGAATTCCTAAAAGGTTAATATTTGCTGTGCCGAATGGTAAGCGTCGGAGGGGTAGACCGAAGCGAAGGTGGGAAGATTGCATTAAAGCTGATCTGAAGGGACTGGGTTTGGACGGCGAACGGTGGAGGGAGGTGTGTAACAAGCGATTGGTGGTGTCGGCATCGAACCTTCGGGTTCGCTAAGCCTTATTATTATTATTATAAGTATTACTATTACATGTAGTCAATATGTAAATTTGATTTTTTTTTTTTTTTTTTTTTTAAGGAGAGAGAATTTGATTTTTTGCACCCCTACTAATATTTTTTATAAATATTTAGTAAATTACTGTTGTAGAAATAATTTATTACTATACATTCTAATCAAAGAAAATAAATTAATAAAATAAGAGTTTTGTTTGATTTATAGAAGTTATATATAAATAATTAAACATAACATTAAATTGTTAAGGAAGAAAACAAAAAAAATATAATTTGATCTTGAAATATATACCTCCTTTGTAGAAGATATTAAGTCTGCTGTTCCTCTATAACAAATTCATTCAAGACTGGATTTATTTTATTTAGGAGTGGGGTGGAGAGGTTAGAGATAAATTGTTTTATCTCTTTTATTTGGAGTCATATTTCGGTATTTTATATTTTATTTTTGTCTGCTGCGCTAGCACAAAAAGTGTTAAGATTCTCTACATCAGTTTGCGGATTTATTGATTTTTTCAAGTTTTTTATAATGAATATTGATTATACTTGTATTATTCTGCATTTGTAAATATTTTGTTCTCTATGTAGAATTGACACTGCACTGATATCAAAATATGTCCGTTATTTGTGGTGCGTTGTTATAGTCCTGTTGCCAGTTTTGATTTTGTAGTTTTAGACCTGCAAGTTTGTTTGTATTGCCGTATCCTACGTTCAAACCATTGTGAGGTTTGTCCTTAAGCTTTATTTTCACAGTCTTCGCATTGTATTTTATATTTAACATTAGTAAATTTTTCTTTTGGAATAATATAAATAGTTTTACTGTACAATTTTCCCAATTTATTCATTGTTTTATTTCCAAATTTTATTTCGTTTAGATCATATTTTTTATAAGTTGTTATCTGAACTGAGGGTTTCAATAGAAAAACCTTAATTGTTTCGAGGTATGCTTATGTCCATTATATTTGTGAGACGGAAAATGTTTAAAAAAAAAAATTAATTTATGAAGGCTGCGATGTACCTTTAATTTTTTTTATTTGAAATCATTAACCATTTCTCATTGTTAACTGATATAAAAAATGTTTAAATATAATAAATGGAGAAAATTAATTGGTAACTAAGTAACTGTATTATAGAAATATTGAATAAAATAAAATTCAAATACTACATAATATAAAAAAGCTTAAGAATTAGATTTTTTTCTCTTGTTTTCTCTTTTTGTAAAATTTGAATTTTCTCAAAATCAAAATTATGTTCGATATTGAAAGCATGTACCAATGCTGTTTTTTAAGGGTCTTTTTTGATGTTTTTTATGCCATTCTCATGCTGCTACATTCTCTCATTCATGTATTGTTTTGTTTTCCCTACGTTTATTGCTGAACAATTTAAACATGGAACTTTATATACTAATTCTGCTTGATATTTTTTTTTTATTTTATCCTTGAGATT